AAAAGTCTGGGTATGCACTAGACAACTGTGTTATTCAAGCTAACAGCCTTAAGTTAACTCCAAAGCAAGACTCCAGCAGTTGCTTGATATGAAGATCTTCACATAAATGGTATAATTTTAGGTAGCAGCTATAGGATCCTTGTAACACCATGATACCAATTCTTGTTTTTCAAACTGCATGATCCTGAGGATTCAACCCTGATTGTAGTGCGGGATGCTGTTAAAAGATTGATCAGGCAGTCAGTAGGTGTCTGTTACAGGGACATAAGAACTAAAGATGTAATGTTGATTTCTGCTTACCCCTCCACCCTAGCTCATCTGGAGTTGGAGGGTCAGAAAATGCCTGTGTTGCAGGAGGAATTATGGATGCTGCATGTTTTGGTGGGAGGTAGGAAGGAAGCTCAGACCATATGGTAGAAAACACATTTTAAAAATAATAGGTCACCACATATATTGGTTGCAATGCAAGGGTTCAAAGCCACTGATGTCAACATAAGGACTGTCATTGGTTTCTCAGTAGGCTTTGAATTGCACAGGGGTCATTTTGTAAGTCTGGAGAAAATCATAGCATGCAGGAAAATATAAAAGCTTTAATTAAATCTCTTTTAGTGCCATGGACGTGAAGCCATTGACATATGCTCTTAGGAAAGAGACAGAGAAATGATCTGACAGATGATGTAATAGAGCTATTTTTCCCCACATCATTGGTATTTTTCAGGAAAAATACAAAGCTAACGCATCAACTCAGATTTATTAGATTTATGGTTTTAGCCCCAAACCACTGTATAATAAATGGTTAAAATAATATGCTTGGAGCAGGCCTCCATGCTGTTAACAAACTACTGACATATTGCTCAGTTTCCATCCAACTGACTGACTGTTTATCCCTTTTGGGCCTCTGAGTAGTGGTGTATTTGTGACTTGTAGTTTCTAATAAAATAAGGAAAAGTGCATGGTCTAATGAACACCAAGCTTGAAACCACCAGTGAATTTTCAAGGGTTCTGCCCAGCATTTTAGAGACTGTATCTTTTCCTCTGTAGTTTTTTTTTTCTGCATCTTTTTATTACCAGAATATAATTTCTATGCTCTGTGTCTACAGCTGAATTAGCCGTCATAATGGATGGAACCTATAACAGAAAGCTGCCTGTCAGCTCCTTGACAATATCAAGGGTGAGTAAATAAATCACAGTCCTAATAATGATGGAAGTGCCATTTGAATGCTTATGAACTCATAAGGAAGAGATGGTATCATCTGCTCAGGAAGTTCTTTAATTGTAAACATCTATTACACTGCTAAATGTAAGCCCTGGCTGGCTGAAGTTTGCCATATTATTCTTTTTCTCTTCTTGTTGTAATCATCTGCCTTATACTTTAATTTGTAAGATTTTCAGAGCAGGGAATAGTTTCTCCTCTGTGCTAGTACAGTTTGCATGTAGCACAGTGAAGCCTTGATCCATTTTGGGGGGCATGTAAGTGCTTCCACAATACAGACTATTAATAAAAAGAGTCCTGGGGCCTGATTCAGAGAACCTGCCACAGAAAGGTACAAGTTACATCCCACTTTGATAGCCTGGCCCCTTGCCACAGAGGTAAAATGATCCATCCCAGTGGGAGCCATGCAGTGCTACTGCTTGCTTTCTTCTGGTTTTGGTTTGTGACAGGTGCAGCAATAAAATCTTCCATGTGCTCTATGGGAACACCATCTGCATAGGCAGCTAAATGAATATGCTCCATTAGCATGTTGCCTGGCTAGATAGGCTCCTTCCTCCACTTCCAGGCTCTTCTAGCAGAGGGGAGGTTGTGGCCATTTTCTGCCGCTGCAATTTTCTCCCCTACTGTAGCAGACTGGGCTAGGATGTGTGTTGGCTAGACTTAAACTACTATTCTTGTTGCAATTATTAGTAATCAAGAGATATGTATTCAAATTCTTTGTTGCACTGATTTGCTAGAGTTTTTTTTACTGAACTCTGCACTGAAATTATGCTAATATGAAATTTGTTCTTAAAGCAGTTTCAAACTGTAGAATTAAGGTTGGAAGGAAAATTGCTGACAGTGTATATCAGAAGCTCAGCCACAGTATCCTCACTAATCAGAGTGGTCACTGGCCTAACGAATAGGGGTTTCAATCCATTACTGAACGTTCTCCAGGTATGTCTGCATTGCTTCAGATAGTGCTGGGGCGTGCCTCTGTGTAAACATGGCCCACTTCTTCTCTGCATGTTCTACAGGCCAACACATGTCATGTAGGTACCATTAGAGCAGCCCTGGGGCACATGCCAGAAAGTTTCTACATGACCATATGCCACGTGTAGACCTGGAGTGAGTGGACTCTGAGGTATGTTTGCATGGTGGTACTCCCTAACATTTCTGCCACACTGGATAAATTTCTATAGCCTCCATTTCTGTAGTTATCGTAGCTGGCACCATGAGAAGAAAACTGCAAATACTTTAGCAGCACAGTGTGGTCTTGCTCCAAAGCCTGTTGAATTTAGTGGAGATTCCTACTGATTTCAGTGATCTTTGGATCAGGCACTGTAGACTTTTTTTCCTTTCATTTTATTTGCAGTAAGACATTTTGGGTTGCCCCATTAATCTTCACGCTCGGTACTAGTTGTAACAAGAGCTTCCATTATTTTTGCCCAGCTGCACTTTTTAACCCAACATCAAGCCCAAGAGAAGGAGATAAGTTCTGAAATCAATTTGGGAAGCCAGATAGAAGAAAACAGTATTTGTTAATGCAAATCTTCCCTTAAGCCACACACATTTTCCCAAAAGCTGGAAATTTATATATTGCGCTAAGACCACTGAATCTAGCACAAGACTCATACAACTCCTTCTGTCCAGTCTTGCCCAGTTGCGTATTTTCTCTTATTATTCCACCTTATTTTCCCTACAAGTGGCTGGCCTGTCTTATGGGGTGGCATTTCCACTTTGTGAAACAGCCCCTTTTTTGGATATCTGAAGCGCACGGCTAAGTCTAACTTTCCGAAGTGTCAATAAAACACTGTAGACAGATTGTCTTGTTAGAAGGTGCAATCTGTGTATATCCAGTGCACAAGCAAGAGTAGGGAATTGGAGAGAAAAGAGCAATATGCTGAATCTAGGGCTTTTAGCTTACTTCTAGGGAAAGAAAGCATGCTAGCCTTGGTGACATCTAATGCTATTTAAACACTCTATGCTAACTGCATAGTATAGATAAGGCTCTGGAGGCCTCTAGCCTTTTCTTACCAACATGTTAGGTAACTACAGAAAACCAGGATGAACTCATTTGGGATTGAAAAATAAGTCTAGATGCAAGTTCTTTGCTTACACTAGGTCCCCTGTTCTCCTAATGCTGTAGTTAAACAGGTGGAGCCCTGGTAAGAATTTATTTTAAGATTACCTAAAAGAGACAAGATGTTGTGCCAGCATAATTTGAGAATAGCTTCCCTGGGGTCAATAGAATCACAGGAATGCAATGAAAATGAGAATCAAGGCCTCTGACATCTATTATCAACTACTACTGTTTAAATAGTACTTAGAGGCCCTATTTAAGATTGAAACATTATTATTTTTGGCACTGCACATACCCACTGTAAGAAACAGGCCCTTCTCTGAAGAGCTCACAGTATAAACAAGTCAGACAAAGGTATAACAAAAATTATTTTTAAAGCTCTGGAACTGAGGTACAGTGAAGACTGACCCAAAGACAGAGTCTGGAACTAGGAATTGAGTCCAGGTCCCCCATTTTCTAGTGCAAGCCCTTAACAACAGGACTGTTTACTGCCTTTCTGGCATGTCTGACACAGCATGGAGACCATCTGTGAATTTTCAGGTTATGGAGCATCTCTCTAATTTTTTTCCTATTTTAAGCATTTTTAGCTGTGTGAAAAGTTAGTTATTGAGCAAAAAATTGTAAATCTGTTGATGATAGACACTTAAGTATATTTAAGCCCAAACTAAACTGATTTCTTTGTGTGATGTTTCTGTTCTAAAATGCATTCTGAGTGCTATTCACCCAAGTTCTCCTTTATTTTTAAAACAGTTTATTGACAACATTTCTTCAAGAGAAGAGGTGGAGCAAGCTGAGTATTACCTTTACAAGTAAGCATCTTTGCTCTCTGACCTGACCTATAAACCATTAAAGCAGATATCTTGAAATCTTCCTTTTTTAACAGTCTGACACTTTTAGGCTTCTTGACTTTGATTACAACATTTCAAAGTACACATCAGCTAGTCTCATCATTTACAGCCCAGCAGCTTTTTCATAATCCTTTGGTGCTGGTGTGGTTACCATGTTTCCCATCTTCTGGTGTTTGCTCTAGATAAGTATGTTTATTTGGTACAACTGAGCAACTAATATCTAACTACTAGTTATGCCATAAATAAGGCATGTTGGAATTACCATGCATTATGCCTATTAGTAATAATTCTTTCGGTTGACTTTTTCTCTCAATCATTACTTAATTAAAGAACTTGGGGCAGCTTCTGGGTCTACTTGCTCAATGATGAGTCAAAAAATAGGGTGTTTTGATAATGACTTAGTCAGGAGGAAGAGGAGATATAATTATTTATCCCCTTTGAACTTCAATTTTTCTATATGAGAGATTTTATTTATACATGGAAGTACTTAGTGATTTAATTCTAGTTTCAACAAATCAAACATTTAAAATGGCCCCTCTTTTAAGTAACTACGTTTTGATATTTGCTTTGAAAGGCTGGTAAATCTTGATGTTCAATAGCAATTATAAGTTAGTACTTTATGTAAATTGCTACACACGTTCTGAGATCTAAATCTGCACAAGTAGGAGGGAATTCACCCTGTGCAAATAGGGTCCCAGTCTGCCAGGATTGATAATTATTGAAAATGCTAATTATTTTGGCAGATAATTTGTCTACACACTTGCTCAAAGTGCTTACCCAATTGTAAGTGCAGAACTACACTACACATCAGCTGTCTTGAGCATGTAGGGCCAAATTCTGTTCTACCTAGCAAATGTGTAAATTGACGTAGGCACATGAGTGTAATCCTTTTCCAAAGGTGAGTGGGATTCTTCTCCTTATTGCTTTTTTATAACTCAGTTTTAAAGCTAAGATGACAGTGTGGTACAAATAGATGCATTTAATGGATTTTCAGGACTTGAATAGAATCACACATAGACACCAAGGCTGCTTGTACATGCCATGAGGTTTATTTTGGTTTAATTCTCCTTAAATTGAAACAGTGGGTTTTTAAAAACACTGCTTCACATTAAACTGAAGTAACCCCCTGTGGCGTGTACACAAGTGTTGGGCCCGATCTTTACCTGCCTCTCTGGTGGTGGGGGTGAGGAGGGTGAGGTGCCGGCAGGCTGAGCAGTCCCTGAACTGCAGGGGGGTACCTGTTCTTCCCTCCGTGGCAGTGGTGGCACCTGCTTGCAGGCATCTGGCCATCGGAGCTGCGGAGGGAAGCACCAGTCCCCCTTCCCCCCCACCTGCAGCTTAGGCAGGCAGGCTCAGGGGAGGAAAAAAAAAGATCAGGTTCACCACTTGTTTTTTTTTTCCTTTAGTGGAGCCTGCCTGCACAACCCCTGAGCTGCACGGGGTCCAGTGCTTCTCTCCATGGCTGTAAGGTAGCAAACTAAAACCTTGGACATATTTTATTTTGCTACGTCCCAAAGTCATTTAATATGCAATATGCTGCTGACAGTGTAAACAGCAATGCCATTAAAGTAGTGCAAAAGGGCATTTAAGCTGCTTTAAAGGCCAATTTTGTGGCGTGTACAAAGCCCCCAAATGGGTAAAATAGAATTTGGCTCATGTAGTTTATGTCATGTGGTAGGATAGCAGGAATACAATGTTTTAAGGCAGATTTAAGAAGTATAAAAAATCATGTTTAGTGATATTACAGCCCAATGCTGCATAATTCACAGGGAGAAAATAATCAGAAATTAAGCACATGCTAGTAAAATTTTGTTTTCCTGACAAGATCCCTTCCAGCTCCTCTGCCAAACTAATATCGACAAGTAACCCTGTTTTATATATCTCAGAGCATGGTATTTTATTCCAGACATATTTAATGCTAGGCAGAATTCATTTTTTCCTTTTTGTACAAAACGATTGCTATAGAGGAAGATGAAAAAAGTAGAAACAAAAAGGAATGTTCTTAAACCAGATGAAAGGGTGTGTTTTTAGAGCCTGTTAATTAGCATATGCTAGCTAATATATTTTAATGTAGGCAATGCATTGCAGACTTCTACAATCATCGTTTAGGGTTCAGCTCAGAAGTTAGTTGGGCACCAATCCTGTTATAGGCCATTGGACACTATGATGATATAATTAAAGATAGTGTGACCATTGTTCAATCACAGAATGTTGCAGATGAAAGCAGGATGTTTATGTTAGAAGGTTAATCTGTGGCTGTTTCTTTGTTTTTACTTTTAAGAAATAAGAAACTCAGAGATGTATGATAAGAATGATTAAGAGAATGGAAAAGCTTCCATAAAAGGGAAGAGACAATAGAAAAGGAATATTTAGTTCATAAATATTTCTCTTACTTCTCCTACCCCCGATCTAATTAAAACTCTGAATTAATTTTTAAAAAAAACCTTAAAGCCACAATCTAAAAAAATTAACAGCCCCCAAAAAGCAATTACAAGTATTTATCACTTGTTTGAAAATCAGTCATTTTTCCTATAGCTAATCAGCTGGAATATTTGCATATATACTTTGGTTGGTAATAACTTTTTCAGATTTTAAGATTATTAACTTCTAAGGAGGAAACTTATGCGACATATCAACACCTTTCTATTATCAGCTACCAATGAGCCAGGATTTCTGTGGGTGTGTTACAAAAATACTTATTACTGTTGCAAAATGTTTGATTTCAGGAGAAATATTAGCATTGAATATCCAGGAGACTGCATTCTGTCATGATCTATTAATCTTTTTCTTCTCAAAGGGCATTAATATTCAGGTAGCCAAACAGCAAGGAGAGATTTGTAATCCATGTGAAAATGTAAAATACCCAATTAGAACATCAACTTCCCTTTCAAATAAAAATAAATGCACTAGCTTGAGGAAACAGTGGTACTGGGAAATGGTACTAGTGAGGTCTGTTTTATTGTTCTTCTTTATGTTTTGCACTCAGGATAGAGTTCAGGTGAAGGACATGCTTATAAAGAGATCTCTTTGCAGCTGAGAGGATGTTTGACAGAGAGAAAGAGCGCATTGCATAGTATTCAGACAACCATTGCCATCAGGCATTAAGAGAGGTGGGAGCTAAAGGAGAAGACACTGCTTTAACTAGAAATCTTTTCTTGGATTGTCTCATCCTCAGTGTTGTTGTTGAGCAGTTTTGTGATATTTATTACTTTGTTTTTTTAAGGTTAGGACAAACATTTTAAGAAGGGAAAAGGAAAGGAATAATAGAAAATATTTTCCAGTGATACTGCACAAAATTTACAGACCCCCTGGGTGCAATTATACAGCATACAGTATACGGACCCTTTGGGTCCAATTTACGAGCAAATGGCTTGTAAATTTTCTAATAATAAGCTGTTTGCTTCACTTGGATGAATGCAAGTAAGCAGTGTTCCTGAACCAGAAACCAATCAACTCTTCCTTTTATCCAGCTCCAGCATCTCAGCATACACCAGTAATGAGTGAAATTGTTTCATGTAACACCACTTCCTGTGGTCCTTGCTTGGGCCCTCTTCCAGTGAAAGTGGCACTCCCCCAGGCATGGTTCATATTTCATACAACAGAACTGTCAAATTCATTCTGTGGAAAGGACCATATTCCACTTTGAGTTGAAGGTGGATGCTATGAAGGCTGTACCTTCTCTCAACAGCAAATCTTGCAGGCAAGAGCATGAGCTAACAAATAAAACATGAGCTGAGATACTACTGGTGGCCTAACACTTGACTGGCCACTCTCTTGTTGTTGGATGTGGTTGGGGTGATGCTACTGATGCTTTTTGAACAACATGAAAAGAGAGTTCTTGTACTGCAGATGGGAAATGAAGATCAGAGTTTTTGAAAGGGGAGTGTGTATTGGATCATATGACTAGATGAGACTTGTATTATGGGGATAATTGCAACATGGAGGTGGAAAACAGGAGTGACAACATTGTTAGGTGGAATAGGGAGAGCCAGGAGAGGTGAGACAAACCAGCTTTCCCAGGAAAGACTACAAAAATGACTGCATGACAAGGAAAGTCAGGCAAGGAGAAACATAGACAAAGGGAAGAGTGTGGGTGTTTAGAGTTGGCACTTGAGGTTATGGAAATTCAAAGAAAGCAATTTTTGGCATTTACAAATATGGTTAATTTCGCCAGTCTGTCTACAACATTTTTTGGGAAAAAGATAATCAGCTAGCCCACAGACTTTTATGACAATGTCTACTCAAGCTGAAGTTTTATGACCTAGCTGTCAACTGCTCAAGAACAGAATGAACATATTGAAGTAAAAATGCTGAGTAACCATTAATCCACTCCTACCCCCAATTTCTCTTTACTCCCTAAAATCACTCACCCCCAACTCTGATATTTCATCCCCATATCCTAGTCGGCTTCACCATAATTCTGTATTTTGCTTCCTATGCTTGGAATTCCCTTCCTGTCCTCATCTGCCTAGCAATCTACCTCTCCATGTTTACTGTGTGTGGCCTTTCACAAATAACCCACTAAGTATTCGCTATTGATTTATATTAAGTAGTAAAAATACAGTATCCCTTACAAGGTAGCTTCTAATGGTTTACTCTCTTCATCTGGAGGAAGAATTAGAAAGAAACTTTGAAGTCAACACTTGCATTTGTGGGTTATTCCTGTTCACGGGGATTTATTGAGTATTAGCTATTTGAATGAATTGTAAGCTGCATAGGGCAGGGATTTTTTTTGTACAGTGCCAAAGGGGAGTATAAAATCAAGAGCAGTGAATGAAGTGACATTCCAGAGCATAACCACGATATATTTAATGTATTGAAATACAATACCTTTATATTTAGACCAGTTCAATTTGCTCTACCTTTAAAACTGCAGGTCTCTATGCATACCACAGAATCCTGAGTGCTTGAGAAAGAGCTGCATAGAAACAGCTACCCTGCTTTGTAGGGAATGTCAATAA